ATGTTCTTGACAAATTAATTTAATTTAACATATTTTGTGTAGTTTCCCAATATGCTAAACTACAAAATACATTTTAAAATTTGATGTTTAAAATTGATGAAGAGGTTGATGAAGAATTCATGAAGAGGATAGTCACACCACAAGACCATTTCCACCTTTACTTGATATTGGCTCAGAAATCAAAACACAATTTGACCAGATAATTAAATGACCATGCTGCTGACAAAATCAGTGTCCATCTAAATTTTGAAAATATAAAAGAAAATATTTTTTTCTTCGAGGAGTAAAATTACATAAAATGACAACTGTTCATCTGCACTTTAACTTGAAAGGCAATGAAACAAAAGTCCCAATGTAACTTGATACTTCTGTTCTCTTTAACTGCAGTCATAATAATTAGAAGAAATAGTTCACTGGCAGCACATTACTGCTGCCGAAGTACTGTTAAGTATTCCCAAATAGTCATGAAATAGTCACATCACCTTTAAGTTGTAAAGGAATCTGTGTTCCTCAGCCAGCTCTGTAACACTACACTAGACAGTTTTCGGGAACATCTGATTGCCAATTTGCCATTTGTTACTTTCTCACTATGTGCAGAATCTGCTGCTGCTGCTGTCTGCACTTACACTAACAGGCTTGAACAAGAACGGCGCTGTTATCTGGCTCAGGAACGAGCGTAGCAGGTTCGCCCCAGAGGTCAGCAGATGGTCCGATAAGTCAGCTGAGGCACAGGACTTCATTATTCAGCTCAGCTGTGTGTGTGTGTATCAGCACTGTGTGCTGTGTTTAGTAATATTAGTTGAGGATTTGAGCTGGATCAAAGCATGCACAGACCTACTGTCTTATTATTTTGATACTGACAAACTAAACAGTTAATATGTAAGGGATAAAGTGCATCTAGCTGGCCATTATCACAAAATAAAGTGATCAGGTCTTGTACCAACACCAAGGGGTTTATTTTGCAATAATGACCTGCTGACTATATTTTATCTTGCAAATTTTACATCGACTTTCCGAATAAATGAAAAAAAGGGCATAAAATGTTTTTTTGAGTTGAATTATTTTATTACATGATAAGAAACTACAGAATTATATGAGAGGAATGAAACTAGCAAAATTATGTAGGAAATTGGTCCGTTATGCTTTTTAGTCACCATTATATTAAACTGCACGATGCCAAGTTTGACCAATCAGAATCAAGGAGTCCATAGAGGAGAGTAATAAGCATTTTTAATTGCTTTTACTAATCTAATAATGACTGATTAGTGATCAATAATTTGATTGTCTAATAGTGACACAAATATGGACCAAATTAATCTCAATGAAAACAGCATGCATTTTTTAATGTATTTTTTATGTTAAGAACCTTGACAACCTTGTGAAACTAATAAAATGTTTTATTTACAGAGATTTAATGCATATAAAAAGTCCAGAGACATTTATTTAGTTATTTAGTTATTAATTTAATTTAATTTAATTTCTAATATGGCAATACTTTTTTCCTGGTGTGCTTCTCATTTGGTGTGCAAATTAGAAGCTGTGAGGTTGATGTTCTGTCGCCAAGGTCTAGGTCTAAGTCACCGCATGGTCATTGTTCAAAGAACAAGCCCTCGCCCTTCTGTCTCTTTCTCTCAAATGCCACTGAAAAGCATGGCTGACATTAAATAAATAGATCAATACCACCCATAAAGACTTTTAAGATTCTTAGAAAGAATATACTCTTTTATCAAAGCTAAAAGAGAAGTGTTGACTGCAGAGACACCTTCACAGACTGACTTCTTTAGTGTTAATAAGGTCTGTCTCCATTCCTGGAAAAAAAACATTTTAAACTACGTAAACGAGTGGTTTTATGGTCTCCAAAGCTGGTTTTGTTTAATGGTTTTTTAGCTTTGAGACCTGCTGGCCAACCAACTAAACTAGCCAAACTCTTGTTTGGCCAGGCTGGGAGACCAGCTAGATCATCTTAAACCAGTGTAGGCTAGACATATCCAATGAGAGGCGGATTATGTGCTGATAGTTTTGGAAATGAGCTGCTTGAGAAAAAAATGTGTAAAAACACAAGGCTTGGACCAGCTAATGACCAGCTTAGACCTGCTATCATGTTCCAAAACACAGCAATCCAGCCTAAGCTGGATTTTGCAGCAGCGAATCCACTTACATAGTTGAACTCTCGCAAATAATTTGAGCATAAACACAAATATGTGAAGCTGAGCGTTTGCTCTTCGCCAGGAATGCATCAGCGATCACCCCCATGCCTGACCCACTGCTTTATTGGGTCATTTTCACACGCAATGGACCCTGCACCTGATGAGTACGCCAATGCAGAGTAAGGAGGAATGCACCTCCATTATCTGGTGTAACTCTGAGAGGAAATATTTGCAGAAATTTGGCAGATTTATAATCAGACGAATAGCACACTGTTATTGTAATTTAGGCAAATCATTGTAAACAACCTCTAAATGGCTTCTTTGTCCTCAGATGGAGAAGCTATATAGAAACTTATCTAATGTAAACCAGCATTTTATTATTTGTTTCCAGGAAACAAATGATGTTACCAACCTTGACTAGCACATTTAAAACTAGGAAGGCAATTATTAACCAAAGGTAACTACATTTACAGTGTTGTTCCAAGGGTTTTTTTGTGTGTATTCTTCTCTTCCACTCCTATTTTTACATTGTTTTAAGCCACATGAGGTCAGATGATGCAATAAAAAGTGTGATGGAATCTTCAGCTGGTGGGGATTATAGGTGCACGCATGACTGATGATGGCAGTGAAGCAGCCTCTCACTGAGCTGACCCTATTATCCATGCACCAAAGTACCGGGAGAGTGACAGCTGAAACTGAGTAAAAATAGCGCCTATATTTTCAGCATCATTTCTGCTGCTCTTCTCCTAAATATTTATCATAAAATGCAGCTCCATCATTTGGATGTTATTGACAGTGTCACAGAGCAGGCAGACTTCATTACAGGGATTCTCTTCAAGATATTTTGAAACAATGGTTTACTTTTTGTGGATTTTCACTTAAACTGTTTGTGATATGGTCAGTTGAATTCATATGAAAGAGCCCTGAAATCAACATTGACTCTTTTGTTTTTCCCCTTTCCTTTCCAATTTAAAGATTTTATACTTTTGACACTTTTATACTTTATATTTAAGATGAAAGTAATCTTATAGTGAAATAAGCTATATTTATGTATTTATTGTAAATATATAATTAATTTTCATTATTTATTGTTTGAAATGTATTTTTATGACTGTCCTAAAGAATCTTTTTATTCTGCTCCATTTCCAGTCAAGTTGTAATTTTGTCAAAATGTGTGAAAATAATATTTGATACACAAAAAGTGAAATTAGCCTTAGCAAGATGAAGGAATTGGCCAATTAATTCCAAAAATGTAAAAAATACAATGTCAGTTACTGAATGCTGTTTAATACAACACTTCATTTGATGTGGTAAAAATGACACAGCAGTAAAAATTAAGATTTTTTTATATATTTGTATACATACAGAATTCTGTTATATTGAAATAAATACTTTTATATTGAAATAAATAAATACAGCATGCAGCATGAATGAATGAAATTGGTTAAAAGTGACAGTAAAACATTTGCAATGTTACACAACTTTTATATTTCAAATAAATGCTGCTCTTTTGAACTTTCTATTCATCAAAAAATCCTGAAAAAATGTATTACAGCTTCCACAAAAACATTTAAAAAATGTGTTTAGTATTAATAAGAATTAATCAGCATACTAAAATGATTTCTGAAGGATCATGTGATCAGGACACTGAAGACTGGAGAAATGACGCTGAAAATCCAGCTTTGCCATCACAGAAATAAATAACATTTTAAAATATATTCAAACAGAAAACAGTTATTTTAGATTTGAAAAAAAACCAAAACATATTACTGTTTTTACTATATTTTTGATCAATTAAATGCAGCCTTAGTGAGCATAAGGGACCTTTCTTTCCAACACCACACTACTTTTTCCACCATCAATTGGTTATGAAGGCATTGACTGAAATCTATTTATTTTGAAAATGTCTTCAGTGCTTTTGTCCATGGTCAGGTGTGATTTGGCCCAACCAGGTCTATAATACATGGCGAAAACTTGGTTATTATTTCCATTCATGTGAGTGGCAGTAGTGCTTAACCAGTACTGATCTCAGCAGAAGTGCTTGAAATCAAACTCTTTCCATTTCTCACAAACCTGTTGTTCGAATTGAAATGCACAGACACACACAAATCCAGGCCCACGCACAAATATACCAAACAGAAGTACACTTAGATGCTAACTCGAGACAATAAACACTGCACAATCAAAGACCATGAAACAGACACCCACACACATACAGCATTATTAACACTATAGGCCGGGATTCAGTCGGCCCTGTCCATTACACCTCTCTTCCCTGGCACCATGTCTTCATTGACCTTCTCAAGCTGTTCGTTGGACTTTCACGTTCTTATTGACCCGGAGGCTGTCTGCCACTGACTGTCAGCATGAATTTGTCATCAGCAGTGGACATCAGTGAGCAATCCGGCGATTACTCACTGGCCCCACGCTCCTTTTCTCCCCTACAGGCATGATATCATCTCCACAGTGCAACGATGGTCTTTTGTCCGTTTGCCGCTAGCGTATAGTTGTACATTGGACTGTCAGATTGTCAATAAGAATGGTGTATGGCAAGCTAAAATTCTAATAAGTAGTTCAGTTTGTGGATTTTTCAAGCAGTGGATGATCTAATTCCCAGTAGACCTTCGTTGTAAATATTTAGCCAAAATAAGCCCCCATTTTGATGCAATCCATAAATATGCATATGAAATGAAAGCCTTACAAGATGAAAGCTGACATCTTAAAGTACTTTACTGAGAATAATATTGTGGTGAATCACTGAGACGAAAGAGATTGAAGCTTTGAAGGTTGTGCTGTGGTTGAACAACTGAAATGTTCTCTTTCTCTCTCTGTCTCTTGCTGTCTCTTTTGCAGGTTGGTGCTGTTCACATGTGTGACGTGGTAAATGAGATTGAGCTGGCAAGAGCGAGGTGCGAGAATAAAACAGCAGGAAACGTCACATCAGGTGATATTCACAAAATAGCGTTGCTCTGTGCCATTTTCACAGTCAATAAACAATTTTGCATTGATGTAACTGTAGATCACAGAGAGCTAATATTTGGTGCTAAAACAGGGCCAAAAACAAAATGCATTTACATTCATATCTAGAATTTGTTTGAGTGGAAAAAAATCTAGTAGATCTAGTAAACTGTAGTTTTTATAGTAATAAGAAATAACCGAATGCTGTTAAATACAACACTTCCTTTGATATGTGGTGAAAATGACACAGCAGTGAAAATTTAGAAAAAAGGTGTATGTGTATACATACAGAATTCTGTTATTGAATTAAATCAATACTTTTATTCAGCATGGATGCATTAAATTTGTTAAAAGTGACAGTGAAGGCATTTGCAATGCTACAAAATTATGTATTTCAAACAAATGCTGAAAACATTCTATTCATCAAAAAATCCTGAAAAATTAAAACATATTACGGTTTCCACAACAACATTAAACAGACTGTGTTTCACACTGATATTAATAATAGCACCAAATCAGCATATTAGAATGATTTCTGAAATAAGCTCAGCTTGACGTTTGAGCTTGGGGTGCCAAACCAAACTGGTCAATTTGGTCAGTTTGCACTTTTAAACACATTTTAGTTTTGCTATAGTAAATCTACAAATTCACACTCTGATTACAGAGCAGCCGTAGCAGCAAGTGTGTGAGGTTGTCATGGCAACCAGATACATTGCAAGTGAATTACAGCTACACTTCTATTTTGCCACACTAAACTTAGCAATGAACATGTTGAAAATAATGCACAATAAACATGTCTGTCAAAACTATCTCAAAAGAGGGTTTTATTTTAAGCAAATCAAGGAGTGAATTACTCATCCACTGTTTTTAAAACAGACATTTGTTGGGCTTGATTCAAGTTAACGCACAATGGCAGGCGCACACTTTCTATTTAGTCTTACTGAAAATAGATGATAAACAGTTTATATTCTAAAATCTATTTATAGGTTTTGTTCTGGGTAAATTAATAATATTTGGATGTAAATTGTATGCATAAAATTAGAACACTGAGCCACTAAAACGGCGGCGTCCTGTGGATCACCTTTATCTGATCGTCCGGGTCTGGAGTCATCAAGCACGTCACTGACATCTTCATCTGAGTTTTACCGTTGTCTCTGGATTTCTCTGCAGTTCATGTACGTTGTTAAAAACACTGAATATCATTTTATGCCACAGGCAAGCATTATACTATAGTCTATTATCCACCAAAATGCAGATTTGTCACGCGACAATTTCTTATGCAAATGAGATTGTGGGAGACGTTAAGTTTGTTACATATGCATATGTGCATATTTACTTTGTAGAAAAATCTTTATAAATAAATAAAGTTTAGTAAAATCCTTCAATCACTATGGGGGAAGCTAGGCTATATTTTAAAAAATATTGAAGTATTAGAAGGTATTTGAATACTTATATTAACATAATATTAACAATAAAATAAAATCACATATATACAAAATATATAAATTATTATTATTATTATTACTATTATTAGAGTACATATGCAATTTATTATATAATCATTATGAATGAAAAATGCTTCATCCATCCAATGATTTGAATATATGTAAAAAAAAAATAAAATTACCATCATCCTCATCAATGAGATGTATCATGCACAAGCGTTCTGACAAAATACTGATTCATCAGCCTAGCTGATTATTTTGGATTTTCAGCAAAGGGTCGAGGGACCATTGCACTGCACAGATATCTACAATTATCTGGAAGCTCCTTTGAGGTATGAAGTAGGTTATCCTCCACTGACTCATTCTTCAGGTTTACGAGGCGAACTGGCAATCAGGCATGAAAGGCATTTTTTTGAAGTGGAAGGCAGCTGTAAAAGTCAGACCCCCATCATGGACAAAGAGTGGGATGAATGAAAGGATCTGTTGTGCCCACAAGCATTTCATGCAACTGTTTGAAGTGAAAGCCCTGTAGTGTCCATGTGTATTGTTCTAAGATAGACTTGAGTTTTAAAAAAAACTCTTTTTACTTGCATTTTTCCAGTGTCTTTTGATGTGATATAACTAGGCTTTTCGTATATCAAATGTCTGTTTGGATTGGGATGGACCATCGAGGCCAGGCCAGAAACCTATATCAGCTATATCCGTAAACTACAAGTTAAGAACAGCTCTCTAGCAACCACCCAAAACAACTTAATTCCATAACAACCCTTGAAGACACCCCAGCAACTACCAAGAATAGCTTAGCAACCACTTAACAACGCCCTACCAACCACCCAAAATACCCTAGCAAGTATTTTGGTTAATTTGCAGCAGTTCAAAAGTCAGTACAATTTTTTAAAAGAGTCTCTTGTTTATTTGATCAAGACTACAGTAAAAAAATGAATGCTGTGAAATATTACATTTTTTTTCTATTTTAATATATTTTAAAATGTAATTTATTCCCAATGCTGAATTTTCAGCAGCCATTACTCCAGTCTTTGGTGTCACATGATCCTTCAAAAATCTTTCTTATATGCTGATTTGCTGCTCAAGAAACATTTATCCATGTTGAAAACAGTTGTGCTGCTGTGACTTCTTTCAGGATTCTTTGATGACCAGAAGATTCAAATGAACAACATTTGTCTTGTAACATTATAAATGTTTTTTCTGTAACTTTTGATACATTTATTTATTTGCATCCTCACTGAATAAAAGGATTAATTTCTTTAAAAAAAAAAGAAAAAAAGAAAGTCTTACTAAGCCCAAACTGTCATAGCTGCATGGGGACACAAAGGCTGAGGATCCAAGTGAAGTAGTTTATTAAAGGGTAATCCACAATCATAGTTGAAGTAACAGGCAAAGGTCATGACACTATGAGACAAACCAAAAGCAAGAACAAAGCAGAAAACACAGGAAAGCAAAGGAAACCAGGCTGAAGTAAACAAAAAAAAAACAGAGAACCAGAATACCAGGGCTAAGAGATGAAGCATGACAAATTCAAGACTTCACAAAAAGTGACTGAAAACACCAAGCTTGTATAGGCAGAGGTAATGAGCAACAGGTGAAAATAATCAGGCATGATGAGTCTGGGCAATGGGTTATGGGAAATGTAGTCCAGGACAGAGTGGTAAAGGTATGGGATGGAGTGCCCTCTGGTGGCTATCAAGGGCACACCAGCTGGTGATCGTGACACAAACGTTTAAACCAGGGGTGTCAAACTCAATTCCTGGAGGGCCGGAGCCAACATTATGGCTGCCATCAAAGGGCCAGTTGTAACTGTAAGACTGTACAAATGTTACTACTCCTTAACATATTGTTAAATAACTGTCTCTTTATTTTATTATTACTTATTTAAGTTACAAATATTGCATCTGCATGTCTCCGGCCCTCCAGGAATTGAGTTTGACACCCCTGGTTTAAACAATAGTTTACATTTCTGTTTATTCACTTGGCAGACGCTTTTATCCAACATGAATTACAGTGCATTCCTGGTGTACATTGTTTTTTAGTTTGTGCATTGAAACCAATGACCTTGGTGTTGCTAGCACCAGTTGAGCTACAGAATAAAAAATAAAGCGGTAGATTTTTTTTTCTTAGGTAAAGAATATTTAGGCATTAATTGATAGGATTGGTTCTCAAGGTTTAAGGATAAGAAGCTTGGTAGCTAATTAATCTAGAGGGAATTTTTTAACAATCTATGTAAATCTTCAAAGGTCTGCTGGGATTTTTGATAGTTATTGCAGTTAGAAATGGATTCTATCTTGATGTGTAGAATTTTTAATAACATGAAAGTATCAATAACATGAATTTATTTGGCGTAATGTTGAACATGGCACAAAAAATATCCAGCCTTAAAGGGGTCATATGATGCTGTTTTAAAGATCATTATTTTGTGTATTTGGTGTAACAGAATGTTAACATGCTTTAATGTTCAAAAAACATTATTTTTCAAATACTGTACATTATTGTAGGTCCTCTATGCCCCGCCTCTCTCAAACACGTAGTTTTCAACAAAGCCCCCTCCTTTGACAAGCGCAGTCTGCTCTGATTGGCCAGCTGAACCAGTGCATTGGGATTGGCCGAACACCACAAGCACGCGTCGGAAATGTAACGCCCCTTACCATAATCGCGAGCTTCAGCTCTCAAAGTAAATATCAAGACAGTTAATAATGTCGTTAGTTTTACCATCAGTTCAAGCCCAAAAGGGCAACAGAGTCGCGTGACCGACACAGTGATGATGCAGTAGACAAACTGCGGTTAAGACAGCTGACGTGCTATGATTTCTGACAGGCAGTTCACTCTCCTGTGATGTGACCCTGTTCTCCTCACACACACACACACGACGCGTTACTCTGCGCTGCGCAAAACTCCACATTTGAACAGTCAATAGCAAATACTTAAACTAATAACAAAACATACTTACAGTCGCTGATTCAGAAGCGCCAGACTGTCATAGCAAAGTTGGAATTTACCCTTTTTTTTTTTTGGGAAATAGCCTTTGTGCACAGCCAGCCTTGTACTCTTCTAGGTTAAAAAAACTGTGTCCATAAAATGAGTTGCACAAATTCGAACATCTGGGTTGTGCTGTTCTGTTGTAAATAAATCTTAACCAATGATTCCTAATTGCATCTACTTCCGGAAGGCCAAATAAAGTGCTTTTGCTTTCGCACTGAAACACACACCGTCTCCCTGACATGGCTGCATCAACACTATTGCTGTTCCTGAAACCACACCTTCTTTCTTTGCGTGCACATTTGGGCGGCATTATGCTAATATTTCCGCATAGTGACATAGATATGTGGGGGCGTGTTAGAACGAGGCGTTTTAGGTAGGCGTGGTTGACTCTTAACTTTTATAAAGAATATCTCTTTGGATTTGAGACTTTAGTCTTTGCAACTTTACAGATCTTCTTTATATACCAAGAGCTTGTAAGACTCCAAAGAGAAAGGACAACTTGGAATCGCATTATATGACCCCTTTAAAAATTACTACTGAATTGCATCATAAGTTATACAATGTGAACTCTGAAAAAGCAGAATTTATGGCATACAGGTTAGGTGCCATTCACTAACCACTTATTTGCAAAGCAAACATATACAGTGTACTGTAAACTGGTGCAAGATCTACACCTGAATGATTTTGTTTTGGAAATAAGATGCCCTCATGTACAGCCCATCTGTAGGTAACTGTTACACACTGACAGATGAGCTGTAGTGTATTGGCAGCCATCTTTTGGAAGACATTAAGTGGAATGATTCTTCTTTTGGGTTGTATAATGGTCAAGGAGGGCAATTTGCAAAACCAAATACATCCTATAGTGCAAACACTGTTCCCTCCCCCTATATTTTAGGTGAAAATGCTGCTGAACTCATTCAAGATTGGTTTCATGAGCATCAGGATGCAATCACATGCCTTTCATGAGCTTCAGTCACTGAATCTAAACATTGAGACACAGATTACCATTTCCCTTATCCTTCAAAAATAATGTGGTTTTCCATTTTGTAAAATGGTTTTTCCTTCATTTTTACACCAGTTCTATTCAACAACAGCATTTGAAGTTGAACTAAACCTGTAGAGCTAACCTGTATTATTAGCCCAGAATTAGTAGCCAAGACAGTACATTCTACAGTACATTTTCTCTTCAGAGTTCCCTAGTCAGTGTGTTTAAACATAAGCAGCTTTCAGCAGCTGGACTTGAACATGTATCTGATTTCAATTTAAACCGCAATCCTGTGATGATTAAATTTAAATGTCTACAATCTATGTGCTGACCCATCCTCACATGCATATACCTGTCAGGGTTCTGTCACTTCGGTCTAGTGTAATTCATGGTTTTGTGACAGAGCCCTGACACTCCCGTCATGTCATTGTTTTCATGTGAGCGTGCGGCTTCGAGAGTGCTCGAGCCGTGTGCTCTCGTCTGCGTGTACTGTTTCATGTTGGAGCATGGTGTTCAGATCCCGGCACTCAGGTCTTGAGTTTCGTTTTCGTTTTCGGGGTCCGGACACTCGCGATGTGCTTGTGTTTTGTTTTGTGTGAGCACATGGCTTTTGTCTTTGTTTCCTGTGTGCCATGTGCTCTCATGTCAATTGTCTTGACCCCACCCATCTTGTTACCTGATTATTGGTTAATTTGCCCCACATGTGTTCCCTCGTTACCCTCCTCATTTGCTCTCCATTTATTCTCCCTGTGTTTGCAGTCCTGGGTCAGTTCGTCACCCTATCTCCCTGGATGTGTCCTGTCGTGTCTTGCCAAGATCCTGCCTTGCCCAGTCTTGCCAGCCTGTTTTTCCCCCACGGGGTAGTTTTTGTTGTTGGTTTTGTTTTATGTTAATAAAAAGCCCTAACCTCTGCATAATTGAGTCCTCGCTCCATCCTTCATCCCCAACCCTGACAATACCTAGTGCCTAAATGAGGTGAATTTTTAAACAGGCCACTTGCTTCTGCAATATTCCTCTGTAGCTTGGAGAGGATGAATAAGATAAACTAGCTGTCATTTTTCCGCATTCACAGTCAAGAGCCAACTCACCTTGCCTCATGAATCAGACAGATGCATTCTGGGGGCATGAGGAACGCCATAAATATTCAAAATATTACGGGAAAAGCAATAAGCTGATACCGTATCTCAGTTTATTGTGCTTACAGGTATCCAACTGAAGGATGAGGGAAGTGGGAGTTTTAGAACCCTCATGTTACTTTTAAATAAACCTCAGTTAAATTTAGACAGTGTTCTAGACTAATGAATTTGTAAAAAAAATTCTGCAGGATGTTAGTGTCATCAATTTATCAAAATATAAATTTAAAGTGTTACCAATATGTATAGAAAGTATTCTTAATACATACAGTAGTTAGTTATACTCAAATCTAAATTATGTTTTATGCTTTTGTACAACATCAGGAGGGTTATATTGAGTAATATTATATTGAGTTAATGCTAAGCACTGTTCTTTATTCTTTTGCCAGGCTGCAAAGGGATGTGGGATATTATTGCTTGCTGGCCATCAGCCAAAGTTGGGGAACATGTGGTTATTCCATGTCCAAATTACTTCAGACACTTCTCTGATCTTCATGAGGGTAAGTTGAAATCACCATCAAAATACTTTGATGAACTTCTAGGCATTAAGCAACAGCTGTAACTCTCAAAGAAAAGTGCAGTGTCTTTTGTCATTTTGTCAGCCTCAGTCATGGGCTGTCATGGGCTGTAACATCGATGCAAAAGCAAGTGTTTCAAGGCACTTCAGTGTCTGAAGTTGTTCAGAAGCTAATCTGAAACTCCCACATATTCACTAGAGTAGTTTCTTTGATATCAGACTTCTCAAGGCAAAATCTAATTTTCCCCTCTAGAAAACTAGATTTTAGTGGTATGTTGTCATGAATGTACAAGTGGCTAGAAACATTATTTCATAGAATGAAATATGATTAAAGGAATTTAGTTATTTCAGACATTAAACTAATTATAGACAATGCAATCTTGTATAGTATATATAAATGCAATACAACTGGTGACTGGGGGTCAGAACTATATATGCAGAACTGCTGCTCTGAGTGGATGGAATGGCTAATTCATTAGGAGGCAAATCAGACTCATTGACTGAGTATGTACTGCCATTAGGTCACACTTGTTTATCTGAGAATTCTGTCTCAGTCCCATCCCACCAGAAACTATTAATTAAACTCATTAAAAGTCTGTCAGCAACCAAAGTTCAACAGACATATATTATCCTGTTTTACAAAGGATGTCTTAGTGCAAAGTTCTAGAAATTTATATTTAGCCTAGTTTTATAAAAAAAAAAAATTATTTTTTTTATTGGGTTTCCTTATACATAACATAAACGCAATACAAACAGAGGTTAACAGAACAGGCACAATAAAATAAATAATAATAATAATAATGTGTTGAAAATCATTCTTCTTCTGAAATCTTAATACATTTCTCCCAGATGTCTATTCCATTCAGTCTTGCTAACATTTTTTTTTTCATATGATGCACTCTCAATCATTGATTCAAACTACATTCTGATTGTAGGAGATGTGCATATGCATTTTTAATCTGTTCATTTATTAACAAATAGTCCTTTATGTTATACCTATATGTTATTTGGCATATTCGTGTCTGAGATCACTATAGTGAAAATCTGGATTTCAAAAATTATGGACATAAACCGAAAGCTGTAGGATTTTAACAAAAGAAATATTAAAAAACACTTACATTATTTTAATAGTGATAATAGGCATTATAATTTGTAAAGGCAAAATAAAAGCATTTTATTTATACCAGTAGCCTCAGACTTTTGAATTCAGCCGTAAATGTAAACTGTAGCTCTATTGTAGATTAACTGTTGAAAGTAACATTCATCAAAATCTGCAATGTTGTAGATACGTCTAGATTTGCAAAAATGTCCATGTGTAATGCAGAATGTACAATCTAATGGAAACCAATGTTGATTCCATATAATGGAAATACAGTCTGTGTTGGAGGATAAAAAGTGTTTCTGCAGTGATGAAAGAGGTTTGAAAAAGAGAGCACATCTGCTTTGAGGAGCTCTGGATTTCAGCAATTATTTTTGAACACACTGAGCACCTTAGAAATGACCAGCTGTGAGAATGTAAGATTTCGTGATTTTTGTTTGAAATGTCCTTTCATTTTTTTCAACTGCTTATTCGTGCAGCAGCTAGTTACATAGAACTGTTGAAAGTGGACCACTATGTGGTCATAGTGGTTCCTAGCTAGCAGTCTGGATAGAAGACGTAGCCCTTTGTTTAAAGGCTGTGTGAGAGAGCTGTTTGAGAGAGTTTTCACACCAGTGACATTTCTAGGCTAAAAGAACATTGGAGAAATGAGTTTGATGACTGATCATTTGATGTTTGATCATTGTTGTGATGATGAAGAGCCAGTGCTGATGACTCAAACATAAATCTGTGTTGTTAGCAACCAAAGGGCCTTTCGCACCGCTTTAGTTCCAGAACTAAATGTACAGTACTAAAGTACTGGGACGATTTTGCGCGAATTATTTCCCAGTACCATTTAAAGGGTTACATTCGCACCGACAGTGTGTACTAGGAAGTGACGTAAGCCGGTCGACAGCGACGTCATTTGTACGCGGCGTTCAACAACAGAAACAAAGAAGAACAATGTTAACAACAGGAGGATGGAGGACGCTGTGATCGGAGCTGTGTTTTTGTTGTGTCTCGCGGGTTTCACAATAATGGACATGGAATGTCGACGTATACGTAAAGCGATTGAAAGAACGGAAAGGAGGACTAAGAATCTCCAACAACAACTGGCAGTTCTACATTTGCTACAAGTGCCTGCACTTCAGCGTCCGTCCATCTATCGCTGTTTTCCATACTTGCGAAATAAGTTGACACAATGTTTACAGTATGTTTACACGGCGTTTTAAATCATGGCGGGAGAGGGCGTTTTCGTACCCGTTTGGCCAATCAATGTCTACTTACGTCACGGGTAGTACCAGTTGTGCTGGTTAGACCCTGCTCCGGAGTAGGAGCTAATTTGCCCCTTGTCCAAATACCCACACTTGTGGTCTTGGCCACTTGAGAGCGCATGCGCGCGACAGGAAGTAAGTGTGCAAGACTGTCCCAGGTCTTAAAAACGGCAAAGCGC